GATCCTCCGTGATAGCCTCTGAGCTTCGCTGGCAACCCTGGCGAAGTGAGGCCTCCCTTACTCCTTGGCTGTGGGTACAGGGGAGGGCAAGAGTGACAGGCATGTTCAGTGAGGTGCGCGAATGCAGTGAAAGCATCGCCCACAGGGGATTTGTGGTCAGGAGTGTTGTGTGATTTATTACTTTATAGACATTGAGCACACATAGATCCATCAAGGCTTTGCAGTCTGTACCTGCACACATGTCTTCGTCCCGCCCCCTCCCAGGACCCAGTTGTGAGACACCTGCCAGCACAGCACTGTTGGGAGACTGCATGGGTCAGGGCAGCGACTGGCATCATAAAATCACAGTGGCTGGAGACTCCGTTCATCTCCTACATCTGAGCTCAGGACTGTGGTGCCTTGTCCGTCTGGGTCAGCTGCCCTCTCTGCACTTGTCACCACCAGTGAGAAAAGTGCAGGGCAGGTGTGTAGCCCAGGCCTGGGCAGGACCATGGGTATGCGTCCCCTCTGCTGTGGCTCAGCTCCAGGACCGCACCTGCGATGTGGCGCCGGCCCTTTGCGTTCGCTTCCTCATCTGGAAACGGGACAGGGAGAGGGCTGCCAGGGTGTTGTCACCAAGGACCGTCCTTGCCCCTGGGCCTGATGGGTGCTCATTGTGCAGAGCTGTCACCCATCATGAATTTTGCAGTCACTGGGCTCCTTCACCACGGGGCGAGCCTTCCTTGATTCCCCGCACGCAGAAGGCATATCGGTGGCCACTGCTGAGTGATGAGTGAGTGAATACGGGAAGGAACCAGGCCTCCTGGCCCCAGCTTATTCTTCTGAGTGGCACCTACTGCCCCAGCACCTTTGCACTTGCTGGCTCTTCCCTTCATATCTGCACACTCGCTCCTCAAATGTCACCTCATCAAACAGCTTCCCTGACCAGCCTCGACAGAACAGCCCCTCCCAGCAGCCCCCCTCCTCCCCCAGCCTGTTCTTTTCTGCTCGCAGACTTTGGCCTGTCTGCCTGGGTTCTGTACACTTTAGTGAGCCCTCAGTGCCTGGCAGTCTGGTGAGTCCCTACTAAATGTGTGCATGATTACGTCTTCAGGCCCCTCAGAGCCTGGTCTGTTCCCTTTCTTTATCCCCCCTGCTGTGTTATGTTGTTTCCCCCAGATCCCATTTGCCGCTGCTCTGTGCTCCTTTGGCTCTGCTGTTCCACCCTGACGCATCCTTCTCCCCTTTGGGCTGGCTCCAGCCTCTGTTCACTTGGCTGGGACACAGCTCTCTCCTGCAGTGCCTACCTGTTCTCCCAAGTTCTTCCGTGCCTGGCCAAGGACCCGCTGGCATTAGCATTTACTGCAAGTGCAGCTACTGTCAGTCAAGACACTGTCACTTCAAACTTCTTGGACAGAAAGCACAGCTTGAGTCTTAGCAGTCTTAGCAACGGAAACTCTGAGAACTTGGGCACAACCATCTGAGAGTCTGCCAGGCCACAGACCACCTCAGTTGGTTTTTGCCACCTGACTTGGGACTTGGGGAGATGTTGGTGAGAGGTGGCAAGACCAGGCTGAATGGCTGGCCAGCGGCTCTGGACGCCTCCGGACGCTTCCAGCTTCATCCCAGAAGTGCAGCTCAGATCTGCCTTCTGTCTGGAGTTTCTTAGAGAATTTCTCTTGCAATTGATTCACATTGTTTTATGAACATTTGAATACCACTACTTTAAGCATTTTATCAAATTCCAATTTTTTTTTTTTTTTAACATCTTCCCCTCTTGAAGATGAACTGACGGGAATCCTTAAGAAATTATCGCTTGAGAAATATCAGCCCATTTTTGAGGAGCAAGAGGTAAGGATGTTCTTTTTAAATGTCACTTTTAAATCATACTGTAAAAAAATTGCCTCAAAACATAGGTTTCCATTCTGCATGCCTAGACCCATCTTTTTCACCTGGCAGCTGAGGAAATAGAATTTGTGTTCATCACATTGAGTTCTGTTCACTCCAGTGAGATCCTGGAGACCTTCTGGCTTGTTTTGTTATGATAAGATTTTGTGATTTTGAGGATTGCTCTATCCTGTTAAGTTTCTATTTGTCCTGAAAATACTTTTGTTGAAGGGGGTTTGCGATGGGGCTTTTAGGAATGAGAGAGTGAATCGCAAATGCTAATGAATCTGTGACATGTCAAGGTGTAGAATCTGTAGGAACCTGAAAGTTTAGAAGATTTGCTGTTGTACTGCAGTTTGACAGTTCGTCAGCATTCCCACTCCTAGATATGCACCCAAGGGAACTGAAACTATGTCCACTCAAAAACTTGTACATGAATGTTCACAGCAGTGTTCTTTACGATTGCTGGAAGGTGGGAACACCACAGATGTCCATCAGTTGGTGATTGGGTAAATAGCGTGTGGAGTATATTAAAAGGCAGAAACAGCAAAATACTGACACTGCTGCAGGTTGGATGAAAGAAGCAGAGTCCAGTCTCAGATACCACATAGAGTTTGATTCCATTTGTGTGAAATGTCCAGAGTGGTCAAATCTGTAGACACAGAAAGTAGATTGGTGGTTACCAGGGAAGGGAGTGAGGAGAGTGGGGGAGTGATTGCTAATGGAATGGGCTTTCTTTTGGGGTGATGAGAATGTACTGAAATTGAGTATGGTGAGCGTTGCATAACTCTGAATGTACTACAAATTATTGAATTATACACTTTAAGTGGGAGAGTGGTGTGATAGATGCATTATATCTCAATAAGCTGTTAAAAAATTTACCATTCTGGTCAAATAAAACTCCTCTGCATGCCCGTTAGTACCAGGGGATGATGACTGTGTAGAACATTCTGGTCCCCAGTTTAGTGCACGACAATGTTCAGAATTACAGCAGCCATCAAGAGACATTCTCATGGTCCCCAGCAAGCTTGAGATGCAACTCAGGTGTTTGAGGTCTAGTTCAAAAAACAGAGGGGGTGTGTGGCTTTCTTCCTGGGCTTGTTTTTCTGCCTTACCCTGCCTGTTCCCTCTGCTCCTCAACATCTCAAACTTCAGCAGTGATTTTCTCACCACCACGATACCTGTCCGGCTTCCTGACGGCCTCCTGCTTTTGCGCCACGTGTACCAAGCTCTCTCGGAGCGTGTGGAGAACCTGGCTCCAGGTGCATTTCTGTTTCTCGAGCTAGATCTGTTTCACAAGGCCATGTGTGCTCTGATTTCTCGACTTTTCCCCCTTTTTTCAAGGTGACACCCCCCCTCAGATTGTTGCAGTTGTCTGATGTGAGCTCTGAGGTGTGCCCCAGCTGACCCTCGCAGCTTTTAGAGTTTGGATGCAAAGGGAGAGTGCTGGCCAGGTAGATCCGCCATTGCCTTAACTCACCCACCCGGACATCTCCTCGGTGTCTGAGGTCAGGGAGGCAAGGCCTGGCCGGAGGTGGCAGTGGGCAGGGAGCTGAGCCGAGCAAGGCAGTGCCTTTGTCCCCCTGACAACACCTGCCCTGTACAGAGCCAGCTCTGCTGACCCCTTGGCCCTGGTCCTCTCTGGGGTGGAGTTTGCTCTTCATGTGTACACACAGCCCAGTGTCCCTTGAGGCCTTAGAGGCTGGCATCCTGCACCCTCCCCCAGCCCTCACAGCTTCACTGGTGGTGGTGGGAGGGGCTTAGTCCCTTCAGAAACTCCTTGAACCTTCGCCCTGTGCAGGGGACGCTTCCAGAGAGGGTATAGTTTTTCCCCCTATTTTTTTTTAGCCTGCAATTTTGGAAGAAGAATGATGTTAACCCAGGCTTTTATCCTGCCACATTGAAACTGAACATAGACTAATAATTTTCATCTTTCTACCTGTATCAACATGGATTTAGCTACATGTATTGAAAAGTGCCTAAACATTGGTATCTTAAAGTAGGAGATTATTTTTCACATAGAAAGCCTGGAAGTGAGTCACTGAGGTGCCTTCTGGCTCTTTTCTCTACCTCTCCTAGGCAGGCAGCATTCATCTTCTGAGTCCAGTGTGTTTACCAACGCCCGGAAGGAAGGTCGCATGCACATTCCAGGCTGCAGGGTGGGCGGGGAAGCCGGAGGGCACCCACTCTCCTTTCTCTGGAGATTTCCCTGAGCACCTTCTAGCCTCCTGCTGCCTATTGGCCAGAAGTTTGTTACCTCTCGTACTGATATGCGCAGGAAGTCTAGGAATAGCAAGTCCTAGCTGTGTGCATAAGTGCCCCGCTGAAAGTGGTATTCTGTGACTAAAAGGAGCGGGCGTGAACACTGAAAGGGCACTTGGTGTCTCTCTCTCCTTGCTGCTACTCTTGCTTCCTAAGTTCTCGCAGGAGGAGAATTCGGTGTCTGTGCTCTCCATCTAAAATACACCGCAAGTGTCCAGCAGTCCCCATGGTTGACAGAGGACAGCGCTTGAGAAGTCACTTCGGTTGGGGAAGCAGACGAGTACTGTGTTATTCATATCAACAGCACGACTGTAGTCTCTGCCCCCTTTCAACCTTCTGCCAGAGGTCCCCTGTCTGGCTCTTGAGGTCGCAGGAATACCTAAGATGCTCCCAGAGCCTAGCAATGGGGTCTGCAAAGCGAGGGCCAGCGGGAACCACAGCTGCATTAAGCTGAGCTTTGAAGAGAGGACAAGGCTAGAGAGGCATCTGGGGAGAGGCAGCAAGTTCCTTCGGAGAGTCGATGGTGCTTTGGCCTGGTGGGGCCTTGCCACAGCCAGCTGGTCCATAGGACAGTGCGGACGCTGACCACCGGGGCCTGGACTGTGTGGACCTGACCTGGCGGCTCTGGCTGGAGATCCATGCAGACACGGAAAGGTCTCTGGCCTCCCTGCAGAGCATGAGGGCTGGTGGGAAGCAGTGGCGAGAGGGAGACACAGTTAGGTGGGAGACCCCATCCAAGATGACATGGGAAGTCATTGGAGAAGTGCTGAGGGGCTGGCCCGGGAGCAGGAGTAGTCTGCTTGGGTCTGCAGGGAGGGGAGTGTCTGGTAGGGCACATCAGCCAACTATGCAGCCTCTGGGCCCCTGTAAGCCGTGAGGCCCTGGGGAGATGCAGGAAGCGTTCTGTAGTCAGAGGAGGGGGGTGTCTGAGTCTTGGGGAGAAGTCCAGGTTAGACTGGTACAGACCCTTCTCTCTGGATTTAAACCCAGTTTAAGATATTTCTTTTAAAAAAAGATTTATTTATTTGTGCATATAGAACTGGGGTACAGGCCGAGGCTCACAGGCGGGGAGAGGCTTCACCAGAGACAGAGTGGGGAGCAGAACAGGCCGATCGACAAAGTACACTGCTGAGGGGAGCAGCGGGCAGGTCAGGAGAGGTCTGCTGCGCCATGTGGGTCACCTCCAGGGCAGGGATAGAACTCATGCTGAAGTGGCTTTAGCTTCTCAGTGCTGTGCTTTAACCCTCTGCGCCACCAGGGAGGGCCCAAGATACCCTTTTTAAATCCAGAAAAGTAAAGTGACTGATAAAAGAGGCAAGGGAAGACAGAAATTTTTCAGAAGAAAAATTCTAAATTTAGAAAATTCTCAAAAATCTCATTGTCTGTAAGAGAATATTAAATCCTGCTTATAAAATCAGGAACTGCACATTTTCATTGTTGCAAAAGTTTAAGTGACAACAGGACTATGGACATCCAAGTGTAATATTTTAATTTCTGAACACAGTTTGTGAATTTTTTGGTTAAAAACTCAATACAGCACCTACAACCACCTTGTAAATTAAGTGGGGAGAGATTTCTTCCTGCTCAGCTGGGGGCACTGAGGTCAGACCCCTGCCCAGCTTCTCAGGCAGGAAGTAGGAACTGACCGCCTGTCTACCGGTCCCCAGGGTGACCTTGCTCTCTTTGTCTGGCCGCTGTGGACCCTGCCTCCAGCTGTGGCCTTCTCTTCCAGATGAGCACTGTGGCTGGGCTCTGTTTTGTGAGGGCCCAGCAGGTGGCAGAGCCTTGCTGCTTAGGGAGAATGGAGCCATATTAGCATGGCTATCCTTAGGGAACCCCAGGAGGGAGACCCATGAATCTCCAGCTGCAGCATTCTAAAGGTGAGGTGGCATGTGGAGAGGAGCCAGGAATCTGGAGCCCCTGACAGCCCAGCTCACATCCTGGCTCTGCCACTGACTGGCTAGAGGACTCCAGGAGGTCACTGCTGTGTCCAGCCTCCCCGACTCCACACAGGAGGTGGAGAGACACCTGCTTATGCCGTGCTTTGTGCATCCTGTCAGTGCTGGGTCTCCCCTGCCTCACCTGGCAGTGATGCCTGGCTCGCAGCACCCTGCCTGAGACGGGCCTGTGGCTGTTGCCCCCGGCAGCCAGCGCTGTGGTGTGCTTGCCCTCGTGAGCCACTGCCCTCTGCCGCCTTCCTTAGGGGTGCACGCTGCAGGATTTAAACTGTGCAGCTGAGGCACATGCCACGCTGCCTGCTGCAGGGCTTCTCTCCCGGCAGCCGGCAGCTGGCAGCCACAGTGTAGGACGATGAGGTGCCCCCTTCCAGCCCTTCTCCACCTGAGTCCCCCATGGCCCTTTCTCCTGCGGCTTCAGCTCCTTCCCGTTATCACTGTGATTCCTCGTCTGCATCTCTCTTGCGGCAGCAGCAGCGGGGGCCAGCGTGGTAAGTGCCCCCCGCCCCGGCGCTGGGCAGCCCTGCTCAGCTACCGTCCAGAGGCCGTCACTCGCAACAGCAGGGCTCAGGTTCTTGCCACTCCAGCTGCCTCAGCTGCTCCCTCAGGGACACGGCTGGCTGGCTTCATTTTCAGGGGCCTTCTAAAACACACCTGTCCTGGAAACCCCGGGGCTGGAGTGGAGGGAGTCGGTCCTTAAAGCCGAACGTTCAACTCAACTTCCAGCGGTGAGTCAGGAATTGGAAGTAGTAAATCATCATTAAAAAGCTACTAAACAGCACTAATAGCTCATAATCATGATATTTCTATTGTGGTCAGGCAGAGAGAGGTGAGGCGTCAAGCAGATGGCAGCAGATCCCGCTTCTCTCTCCCCAGGTGGATATGGAAGCCTTCCTCACGCTCACCGACGGCGACCTGCAGGAGCTGGGCATTAAGACAGATGGGTCCAGGCAGCAGATTTTGGCAGCGATTTCTGAACTGAACGCAGGCAAGGTATTGTTCTCAGTCTTCCCTTCGCACCCCTGTTTCAGACAGCTGAGACCTCTGCTGGGATCCTGGCCCTCGGCGTCTCTGAGGACTCCCCATTCTCATTTCATTTCTCTGGGCTCCCACCACACACACCTTTACCTCCCAGGGGTTCCTGTTCTTTTTTCAGCCCTCTCCCATAGTTGACTCTCTCCTTAGAGTCAACGAAACTGCCCTCTGGACACAGTCCTTAGTTAAGACAGGCTGGGTCACTGCATCACCCTGGGGAAGTCAGGGCCCGCTCTGAGCCCCACTTTCTTCACTGGTAGGGTGAGGTGAAGGGTGGTTGCCGGGACTGAAGTGTTCACACACAGAGCTGTCAGTCACCATTGCTGTTGGCTGCCCCCATTCTTGCCTAATGTCAAATTCCTGTTTCATCTTTGAAAGTAAAGACTCACAGTACCTTCTCCCTGCTGGCACACCTATGCAAAAGACAAATAAACGCAGCAAGTCACCATGCACCTGCGGATGTGGTGCACCGTCAGCCGTGATTGTGCTGCCAGACATGGTTGTGCTGGCAGCCATGATGCGCTCTCAGACGTGGTTGTGGTTGTGTGTCAGATGTGGTGCACTGTTGCCACTGGGCTGCAGTTGCCTTCTGCTCCTTCCCCTCACACAGGGTGCGTTTTCTGTCACTGCAGCAGCAGAGTTTGATAGCTGTTGACCTGATGCCTTTTTACACTTTGCCTGCCCACGGCCCTCCTGTTGGACAGTAGCACCATGTCTGGAATTGTCAACAGAACTGTCATGGACATCTCTGCCTTTCCCCTTTTCTTCTGCTTTGTTTCACAGTATGAGGTCATGTCAGTGAGCATGAGTGGTTTTTTGGCTCTTTCTCTAGACTGCTCTATCCAGGCCTGTACGCACAGACCTGCGAGCAGGTCCGTATAAGTCTGTGGACATAGACTGTAACCCTAGTGGCATGTAAATGTCCAAGTGGCACTTTGTCATTCATACGCCACTTGGCATCCACTTTCTCAGTTAGCCCGGAGAGGAAGGCCTCACTTAGTCCTGCTGTAAGGGAGCAGAGTCCCGGGTGTGTCCTCAGGTCACCCAGTGGGCAGGGGAGGGAGGCCTCGGCCCCAGCCCTTCCTCACATAGTCGAGCTGCTCCACGCTGCGTGGAGGCTTCCCTCACGGGCCCGCTGGGATTGCAGTGGCTTTTTGTTGCGCTATTAGTATCTGTCTGTAGGCCATGAGGTGGTCTCTCAGGGTAACTCAGTGAGCGCTGCTTCAGTATTTGAGGACTGAGGATTTTACCCGGGGGCGGGGAAGGTGGGGAGGGAAAGCAGGGTCCATTTGAGTTAGAAGGACAGAAAAGTTTCTGGATATAGGGTCTGTGAGGGCCAGGCAAGGCAGGCCAGGAGCTGAGTGCTGTTTTAGCCTGGGCAGGGCTTGGTCGATGGTAGCTGCTAGTGAGTTACTTTTGCAGAAAGTCCCCTCTGGCCTGGGTGGCTGTGGCCTCCTCTTTCCTTAGACCAAGATCACAACAAGAAGACAGACTGAGCTGCTTTGTGAATCTTGGGCAACTTAACTGTCTTCATCAGAGTAAATGAAGTGACATCTTGAGCTCACTCCAAATGAAGACACTTTTCCTTCAACTTAGCACTTCCCGGAACCTGTTCTTCATTGTCTCTCCAATTCATGTCTCTCCATCCATTTCTATAGCAATCTATATTCTCTACTAAGTAAGCTCCATCTAGAAAAGCAGAAGCAGCAGCCAGCCATCAGTAGCTGTTTGAGCTTCAGCCACATAAAAACCATAGACTAGGAGGCTTGTAAACAACAGAGGTGTATTTCTCAGTCTGGGGGCTGGAAGTCCAAAGTCGGGGTGTTGGCATAGTTGAAATGTGGTGACATGACACTGCCAACTTGTCATTGCATCCTCACATGACAGAGAAGAGAGGGAAGCAGGCTGTCAGCAATCTCTTCTCACAAGGCCGTAATTTTACCTTGCAAGCCTGCCCTGTGACCTCACCTAATCTTGATCACCTGCACCAGGTCCCCTCTGCTAACACCATCTCAGCTCAGGGTAGACATGTGAATTGGGTCGGGGGAGAGGAAGCACAAAATTTCAGTCCATAACAATGGTCTTCCTTGGGAGCCCAGCTGACCAGCTCCCAGTCAAGTGGCCTTGGTGTTTCTAATAAGCCGGTCAAGGGGTCTGCAGAACCTGGCCTTTGTCCTGCCCACTGACAGCACCACTCGGCCAAGCCAGGCGATTCCAGAGGCCACAGCTGTTCAGAGCATCACGCTGCGGTGTTTTGTGCCAAATGTTTTTCTTTCTGTGGCTGAAACAAATTTGCATCTATAATTTATATCCTACTTTCTTTGCTTAACATTAAACATGCTGTAGTGTGTGTCAATAGGAACTCTTAATACATTTACACAGATGTACTAAAATTAATTTTTGGGTGGAATCCCTGTTTGTTGCATATATAGATGTGCAAACTTTCTATAAATAGTGTGGCAGTGGACAACTTTGTGTAGGAGTTTTTCTAATTACCTGCTCGGAATAGCTGTCTAAAGGTAGAATTACCAGGTCAAAAAGTCTAAATCAGCATATATGGTGTGTCATCCTTAATTATTTTCCAGAAAGAGCTAGTGACATCCCACCAGCTGTGAGCATAAGTGCCAGGGACCCTGAAGCCTCCCCAGTATTGAGTAGTATCAGTTTATCTTTTAATTTTTATTAATTTGATAGATCAAAAAGAATACTTTGTTTTAATATGCATTTCTTTACTACTAGAGAGGGTTTTTGTTTGTTTTTGCATTTATTTGCCATTTGTTTTTGGAAACACAGGGCTTTTAAAGGGCAATTAATGATTTTTCAGTCACTTGTGGATGCAGGGAACCATGATGTTTTCATCTCTGGCTCCCCCTAAGGTTAGGACACAGTGCGCTGGCTCACCCGACCTCATTTCTCAGGCAATTAAGGCTGCGGTTGGGTTAATAACGCGCGGTCTTCTCTTGAATTCGCTTTCTAGCCTGCCACAGATTACAGAGTGTCAGTCAGTCCCTTCATTCTCAGTTGAACCTCATGCAGCCCCCGCATGTGTGATTCTCCCCAATTTGCAGCTAGGGAAACTCAGCACAGTGGGGTTGCATCTGGAGACCTCTGCTTGTGAGGAGTAGAGTAGGGGTTCAGTCCTCTCGTCCCCCACCCTGGTGATTTCGGGCTGTGATGATGGAACCCTGACTGAGTGTTTCCAGCGGATTTCAAATGACTGGGAGCAGTTGGTGTGAAGAATTCTTTCTGCCTCGGTGTGTAGGAGGCCTTGTCACCACTAGAGGGCTCTGCTTGGGACCTGGCGAGGACCCCTGCCCCCTTCCTCCCAGGGCCATGGCGAGTCCATGAAATGAAAGAAGAAAAAGTTTGAAATCTAGGCTCATTCAGGACAGGTTCGCCTGAACCCCCCTCCTAGCACGGAGCAATCTACCAGAGACTTCTAATTTACTTTACTTGTTGAGTACATTTATTTTTTGCCCTAAAAATACATGTTTAATCTACACTGCTGCCCTGTGAGGACAGCACCTGTCAGCTCCTGCTGTCCACAGAGCGTCCACTGTCAGCACAAACATTTGAGGTGCCGTTATGATTCCTGTTTTATAGGTGAGGAAATCAAGGCCTGGAGAGATGATGTATTTTACTGACGGTCTAATACCTGGGAGACATGGGGTTTGAACCAAGGCGGTTTGATTCTAGTCTCTGTTTTTAACCTCTGTGTTAACATTACCTCCGGACCAAGTATTCAGAGCAGATGTTCTGTGGACTTAAAGAAACACCCACATCCTCCTCCTTTTCCCATCACAAAACATGTATTTGGGGGTGAGGAGGTTGGGGCTCGATGAGAAGTGGATCACTGTGAAAGGAATCTGACATATTTTGGACAAGGGGGAGTAAAGGCAGCTCAAATTCTTCTCTGTGGTAGAAAGAAGCTGAACTCCCACTGAACTCCCTGGAAATTCGAGGACTGGAAAGACTCAGTGTGAGGCGGGGGGAGGCGCCTTCAAGGCCGTGCAACCCAGGGCACATCAGTCCTGCTCTCTGAGCTCCTTGTCCGCCTCTACACAGGGGCCGGACCCCGCACCTTGGGGCCTCCCCAGCCCTGGCGTGTGTGCCTGTGGGTGCTGGGGGAGGTTCTGACTCAGTATGTTTTTATTAAGCTCAGTATTTTTTCAGTTAGGTTAATTTATTTTCCCTGTGACGCCCATGGGTTTTTCAAATAGGAATTCAACCCTAACAACACTGTGTCAGTTGAAGTAATGGTTAAAATATTTAACAAGACTTTCTGTCTGTTTTCTACTTCTTCCACAGGGACGAGAGAGACAAATTTTACAGGAAACCATTCACAACTTCCACTCTTCCTTTGAGAGCAGTGCCAGCAACACGAGGGCTCCTGGAAACAACCCCTGTACGTGACCCTCCTCCTAGGGTCACCAGGGCGACCTTTCTGGGTCCCAGGGCCTTCCCCATGTGACCAGTGCTCTGGCCGCCGTCAGCTCTTCACATTCCCTGAAGCACAGTATGTTTTTGTCCTAAGTCTCATGGTTCCCTCAGCCTGAAACGCCTGCCTTCCCTTCCCAGCCATGTAGACTGATCCTCACATACAGCTCACTGTGGCTGTGTCTGCGCCACAGGTGGTTTCAGCAGTGATTCAGGGACACAGCTCCTTTCATCTTGAGGCCCTGCCATTTTAGGAGGCCTTAAGAGTCCATTTCTGGCTGGCAGAAGGGAAAAGGGATGGTGTTCAAGGCAAGTCACCTCTTAACTGCCTTGCTCTTCACTATTCACATTGCATTGGCTACTGGTAGTCGTGTGGACCCACCGGACGCAGAGGGGGCTGGGAAAGGCAGTCTCTGTCCAGGAGGTGGCTTTGTAGCCAGAGCTCTAGACTTAGAGGGTAACATATATCTATGGGTGGAAAGTTAGCCTCCCTGCCGAGTCTTCCCTTGAGACCATCTAACTTGTTACCTGACCAGTGAAGCTTGCCTTGAGTCCTTACACAGAACTAACCCCCTTCCACCCACTCGGTTGCCTACTGCTTGCCTGTCTGCTCTAGCACTGGACTAAACCCCCTGTGTGCAACAGGCAACAGGCAGGTGTATATTGTTCTCCTAGAGCCAAAGGCAGCCTTTCACGTTGGTAAAGAGAGGAAGCCCACTGTGTGTTCTGGGAGCGGGGGGCTCTCTCCTCCTTTCTGATTCCTCATCTGAACGATTGGGAATCAAGAAAAATAACATTCTGATACTCTGTGTTGCTCTGCACATATCCCTGAGTTCCTGACGTGGGGGCAGAAGAACCTATTATATTATTAGTATATTGGTGGAAGGACCTCAGGGCTCCAGTTGTCTAGGCAAAGAAGCAGAAAATTGGGGATTTCTTTTAAAGTCTGTTGAAGCTATTAGGGTCCTCAGAAAGAAATCAACCCATGTAATTTTCCACCCTGTGTTTTTAAATCCAGCTTTCTGAAATGTTTTCAAGGAAATTAATTTTATTCATCTGTCTTGTCCTGTGGGATTGGGGTGCAAAACTGGACTAGTCCCCACTTTGAGGAGCTTGACAGCAAGAGAAGATGGGAATGGGGTCCAGCCTGTGGAGGTGGTGGAGTGGGAAGCACTCGTGTTCTGGTTTTGGGCTTGGTGCTCAGGTCCAGCCCCAGGACTGGGCAGCTCTGTGACCCAGGTTACTTAGCCTTTTAATGGGAGCTAGAGACAGGGTCTTTCCTTGACCTGTGAACACAGCAGCAGACATCAGCCTCCACAGAAACCTTATCTGTACTGTGAGCTCTGCTGCCATATGCTGGTCTCCTTGGGGGGGGGGCGGGGTCACTCACCTGTTCCTCGCATAGCCACAAATGCCACACCCGCATCCCTGCCTGTGACCGCCCACCCCCCTCTCCTGGTGGTGAGTGGTGAGTGCTCTGCCCCTTTCTGGCTCAGAGGCGATTGTCACTTCACAGGGTGTCTCCCCTGTGACCCAGTAGCTCCCACGCCTTCGTCCTCTCATCTTCCCACCCCCAGCAGCCAACTTTGCACCTGAATGGAGAGTGTTTCCAACATGCAGGATGAGGTTAACCATTGTAGGCTGCAGGTGACAGTGAGGGTGAATACTGCTGAGGTCTAGCTACTGCACACAGCAGGTGTTCAATGGCCACGCCCCCCTGAAGAAGTTTGGAGCTTGAAGAATGTTTATAAAGATGCCTGTTCATGATGCCTAAAGTGAGACCTGGCCTTGGAGTCACCGGAAGCTGAGAAGCCAAACTCAGAATATGATGTCACCAGCGCTCAGGGATGACAGAAGTGAAGGGGGCACAGCATCACCAGTAGTGAGATGGGGCAGAAAGCCCAGTTCATTTATCTCCAGCTTCCTGCCTAAGGTGGCATCCCCTTGCACTCCCTCCTCAGAGCACTGCACCTTGGGGTGAGCCACCCCCCACCAGGCCCTCACTTCCTGTGGCTAGTAGTGGGCACAAGGATGGCCATCCTCTTGAGGGAGACCTGTCCCTGACCTGCAGATGGCTCAACGAGGGCTGGGCTGACCCTGCGTCCTCAGCAGGGCCACTGTCCTCTGATGAGGGATCAGGACACCTTTTCGGCTCAGCCCTACTACGTGGGTTTCCATGTTCCTAACCATTGCACACTTCTTTTTACTTTATTGTTATTCCCATATGAGGACTTGACTCTTTGAAAAATCTGTTTGCCAAACATTTATTAAATAATGGTGAATTTGTCATCTCAACTTGGATTTTTGCTCATCGGTGGCATAAAACGTCACTGAGACTTCTTGCGGAGAGCGTGCCCAGGTGTGCCAGCACCTGCTTCATGATCACCCGGTGAGGCAGCCTTGCCGCTCCCTGTGTGACGGGCACAGGCATCTGCACTGACCTCACCAGGGCCACCAGGTAACAGGCCATTTGGCTGGAAAGCAGCTAGCACTTCTCACTCAGGAATCCCCATTCTTGACATGCTGTTGGGCTGACTCAGCAGAGAGAATTGCTGAAATGGCATTAACCCAGCCAAAAACAAAACAAATATTTAGTCCGTGGGCTTGTTCACAATTTTGGAGTGATGGGAGATGCTTATGAAATACTATAAATAGCTTGGAGAGTTCTTCAGAGAATTCTCACAAGTCAGGCCTGCTTCCTCTCCACCTCTTCTGGAATCAGGGTGTTAGTGGCATGCTCAGCCCTGGGGAGCATTTGGGGAGCAGAAGGTGGAACAAGGCCAAAGTCTGTGGGGCCCTCAAAGGTGAAATGAGGACACTGAAGAGGCTGGGAGGCGACCTGCTGTCCATCAGGAAGAACATTCCAGAAACCAGAGCCCTGTAGGAGGGCAAGTGGCCCCCAGATGGGCCCCTCAGTGGGTGGGCCTGATCCAGGGCAGCTGCGGGGATCTGGGTGCTGGATGAGGCTCGGACCGCATTAGGAGGTTCCCAAGTAACCAACCATGGAAGGGCTGTGAGAAAAAAGTATGAGGAAAAGAATTCGCTTGAATGAAATACGGTCATTTGCTTAATTCTGATGCCAGCGCCCCCAAGTTTGGGAGAGGGGTGTAGTGTAAGTAAAGTCCAAAAGTGAGAAACACAGTGTCAGGGTCACTTTTGAAGCCAGACCCAGCCCTGGATTTCTATGAAAGTGTAACAGGAAGGGGAACGGCTCCTTGTTAAGTTAAACGGAATTCAGATATAACTTGGCAATAACAGAATAAGTTGGTAACTCCGGGGTATTTCCAAAGAATTGAAAACCGGGTTTTCAAACCACAGCATGTATGTGGATGGCAAGTGGCAGTGCTGTTCACAGAGGCGTGAAGTGGCCGCAATCCAGACACCTTTGGCAGGTGAATAGATCTGCAAACTGGCCTGTCCAGTGGTAGAATGCTGTTTAGCTATGAAGAGAAGGAGATGCTTATCTTTATAGCCTCAAGCATCTTGCAAACGTACTAACTGGGAGGAGCCAGACACAGCAGCCACAAGTCCTGTGACTCCACTTCCATGAAATACAGAGACAAAAGCAGTTTTGTGGGTGCTGGGGCTTGGGGACAGGAGAGTGCTGCTTAATGGGGAGTTTAGCTTTGGGGTGATGGAAACTTTTTGGAACAAAATACTGTGGTTGTACATTGTGATAACTAATACCTCTAAAATATTTTTAAATGGTCAAAATGTAAGTTTTGTATTACATATATTATTGTATAGTGATACAATAATATATTGTTACATACACGCATATGTGTATATGTGTATGCATGTTGCATACTGCATTTTTTGTTTTAAAGAAGGAAAGGGAGAGCTGCTCTCCCACCTGGCTGGTCTTTGACCCTCCTGTCTTCACTGCGACCTCTTTTCAGGTGTCAATACTGTGCAAGCCTCTCAGGTTCCCTCATCCCCTCCTCTCTCCTCTCCCCTACACACTTGTCACACACCTTATGGTCCCCTTCCTCAGAGGGGTGTGGAGGGAGGGGGCGCTCAAGCCAGGGTCTGGAGAGCCTGACAGACAGCACCCAGAGTGAGGTGGGGCCGCCCTCCCTGGCTGCACTCTGGAGGGCAGGACTTCCCACCCTCCTGAGCTCACATGCTCCATACCCTTGGCCGCTGGCCTCTTCCCAGCTTGGGCTTCCTGTCTGAAGGGCTGCAGGGCTTCTTGCTTCACTTATTCACAGCTCTTTCTGTGAATAATTGCCTCCACTTGCATCACAATCAAAAGCATTCCCTGCGATATTTGCAGGAGCTTCCCCTATTGGCATGGACACCCACTCCCTGGACTTCTCCGGCCAGTGATGCTCCGAGGGGTCCTCTACCCCATGGACTTCCACTGACCCTGATTCCACCATCAGCCCCTGTACCTGATGGACAGGGATGTCCCCAGCCTCCCTCTGCCCAATACCTGTTTCCTGCCCTTGTTAGTCTCTAAACTGCAAGCTGCAGGCTCATCTCTATTCAGTCTGCTCCCCAGGAACCCAGCCCTTGAACAGGGGCTTTCTCAATGGTGAGAGTGTGCATTGTGTGGAGAGGAACCTCCACCATGGAGGAGCAGGCTGCACTGGGGGCTGAACACCAGCGCTATTGCAGCTTTTCCAGGCTAGCTTCATCCATGCCTTCGGGCAAACTGATTTCACTAAATTTTTGTGAGGGGCAGAGGTCAAGGGCCTGAGTTAGATGGCCTAAGTTAGGCTTGCCCATGGGACGGCCTGGAGACGCTGTGGGTGGTGATGGCCTCCCACAGGTTGTTATGGTTTCCTTGACATTGTAACCAGAGCTGACTGACATGCTTGGCAGCAGCCCCTGCCAGTATACGAGCGAGCAAGCCAGGCCCCTGCCTTCCCAGAGCTCCTGATCCACAGGTGACCACTGCCCTGACTCTCCGCCCTGGCTCTAGGTGAGTATGAGGATTAACAGTTTGAAGCAGGGGCCAGTGCGCTTGGGACATCAGCAGCTTTTTTTTTTTTTTTTAAAGATTTATTTATTTGTGCATACAGAACTGGGGTACAGGCCAGAGGCTCAGGGGCGGTGGGTGAGAGGCTTCACCAGAGACAGAGTGGGTAACAGAACAGGCAGATGGATGAAGTACACTGCTGAGGGGAGCAGCGGGCGGGTCAGGAGAGGTCTGCCGCGCCATGTGGTCAACTCTGGGGCAGGTGGGAATTGAACTCATGCGGAAGTGGCTTTTAGATTCTTAGTGCTGTGCTTTAACCCGCTGTGCCACCAGGGAGGGCCTGGGACATCAGCAGCTTTTAATGGCTCATTTTCTCCCCTGTGTGAGCCACCCCAGCCCTTCCTCGCCTGCTGCAATGCAGGGAACACATTAATGAACGAGGAGCCGGCAGCACTCTGACGAGCGGGGCGATGGACCCGCCACAGCGGCCGGAAAGGTGCCTACCCAATGAAGTGCAAGAATAAACAGAAAAACTTTGCTATTGCATACCAATGATGTGAGGGAGATAGTTCAGTTTACAGTCCACAACCATATAGGGAAGAATACAGAGAGAGAATTGGATTTAAGAAAGAGAGCACGCAGTGCACTGGCTCCTTCAGCCCCGTGAACAAGGTCTGCTTTGACCCACTTTCTAGCAACTGCTTGAACATGGCTCACCTAGCAGTCCTAGGTCACAAGGATTTAACAGTTTATTTTCAAAGACTCACACAAGTCATCAATGACTATATTTTGTTGTGAGGGTGTAATAGCTGTCTTTTATTGGGAGCCCCAAGATCAGGAACAGTTTTTATCAGAGCGCTGGGGACCTTCCGGGAAGCCCAGGGTTCAGGACGGGCCTCACATTTCCTGATAGGAATCTTCTGCCTGCAACCCCCCCAAAAAAAATAAACCCCTAAGGGGCTTCACCTGACACCCCCAGAGGGCTCTTGGCTGCTTGAATTTTTGGAAACTGCACTTATGACTGGAGCAGCAGTGGCCTGCTGCTCAAAGAACACTCCTTGGACCAGATGCTGTGGGGCCCCTAGGGTACTGGGAAGAAACAGGCAGCCCCAAGTCACTGAGCCGGAAGTCACCTCTCCTCAAGGTCCCTCCCCCCCCCGCCCCCCCGCATGAAGGGTGCGTGTGCTGTCAGCAGCGAGAGGCTGTGCCCTCCAAGGCTTCCCGTGGGCGTGTCTCATGTAACACGTGAGAACCATGATGCTGTCACCTCTTACACAGGGACATGGGTCCCTGTGACCCACCCAAGGTCACAGGATATTAAAGTAGCACTGAGACTTGGCATCCCAAGTTCCCCTTCAAGCCCAGTAAGAAGGAACGGGGTTTTACACACCTCCTCATTTAATCCAGCCGGCCCACTTCCCTCAGGTATTTCCATTTTACAAAGGCGAAAGTGAGGCATAGGGAAGTTAAATGACTTGCCTAAAGATGTCACAGCTTGACCTGGACCCAATGTATGTGTAGACTTGACCACTTGGGAATCATAAGCATTAAGTGTATCTTCTGCAGGGCAGGGCACAGAGGAAGAGGCCCGAGGTTGTAGAATCTGGCTTTTATTCCTTCTGTGCCATGGAGAGCTGTGAGGGCAGGTCCCCTGATTTCTGAGGGCTTGGTTTGCCCATCTGTGAAATGGAAGCGATTGCAATTGCTCTCTGGCAAGGCTGTGGTGAGGAATCAATGAGATAATAAATGCTGGAGTGTGCTGTAAACTGTAAAGTGCTGTGGAGTGCTATAGAGCACACACTAGTTAGTTATTCTCCAGGGACCACGCCTCGATGGTAAAGGAGGAAGAAGCTCAGAGAAAGCAAAGTTGCAGTAGGTGGAACTTCGGGGTTGTCATGGGAACCAAAGCTCAAGGCTGATCAAGGCAGGAAATACCATCTGCTTTTAAACACCCCAAGCCTCCACTCACACTGGACTTATTTCTGTAAACAGCAAAATTAACTTCATCCTGTAGAGCAATGTCAGCCCAGAACAATCTAGAGATGGTGTTTCCCCTGAGTTCCCTGGTTGATTCTGGAAGGCGCATCGCAGGAACTCCTTATCCATCGGCTGTCACCTCCAGAGAATATGGATAAGTCACTGGGTAAATCTGAGTCGGAATGGAAAGAAAACCCGTCTGGAAAACACCCTCCCACCCCGGCCTGGCCGCAAGTGTGTAGGGGAGGCCGGAGGTGGTGTCCAGGGACAGACCTGCGGCCCCGTCAGAGCTGAAGCGGGGAGGTGCTTGGCACCTCACCCTCCTCTCAGATATGGGGTGCCACCACAAGCCCAGGATGGTGTGGGGCCTGCCCACG